ATATAGCCTGGGATTTTGACACTGTTTTTATTAACAAATTTATTAGTTCTATTTCTATTGTCTTATTAGTTGTATTGTTATAAATTACAGTCCCCACCACAAAGCACAGCATCATTTCAACCTTTACGCATGTCCCATAATCATGCCGTTGCCATGGCTACACCTTCACAGCAAGCCAATACAACTGCAACATCAAACCCCATCAGCCAATCAGAGAGAAGTGCWTTCCATAGAGTTCAAGAAGATGCAAGTACACCACATAAAAATCCACATGAGTCTTCCCGAACCATGAACCAAGCAGACAAACAAGATAGAGGTGTTGACTATTCTGAGTATAAGCTTCCAACGCGACCTGCTGGTAGAATTGTGAGCTGGAATGGACAGAGCTTTGCCAGTCGATTGCTGGCTCAAGACAGGAGGAAGGCTTTGGCCAGAGATTTGAAAGGTTAGTTTTTGAAACATTCAACAGGAAAACTTTGGAGATGATTCTTCCAAACTCTGCCTGACAAAACGACATTTTCAGCATACTACAATTGTAAGTTAATCTCCCACTTCTATTTGAATGCTTGCATTTGCTGCCTCAAGATGAGGAGTTTTCTAAGAAAAGGAATTTTTTGCCTCTGATCATAGAAGAGAAACATGTTATAAACATATCATGGTAACCGAACCAGAAATGAAACCAGAGTCACTGTGGTTGAATTCGACCTAAGTTTTATTTGTTTAGCAACTCTTTAATCCTTACAGAGATATWAGTTTTAAAGAATGTAATATTATTGTTTGATCTATGATCATTTTATTAGCGTGATGGCTCAAAATAGCTCACCTTAGAATTGTTGATTTTCATCKACWTTTTGGGTGTATAATTTATTTGTTATTTTACCCAAAAAGGTTGATTTTAAAACACTACATTTCTCAGAGGAAACTTTGCAATTGCTATCTAACAATATTGTAGCTTGTAATTTCGTTACTTAATTTTTAATTTAACAGAACTTCCTCATGGAGTTTGTATGCAATTATCAGATGAGCTAAAGGTCAATGTACGAAAGATAAAAGGTAAGTCATGGATTCGAGTAACCCTTTTTGCCCTAGTACAATAATTGTCTCATCGATTTTCATAGTTCAAAGTAGTCCTCTCGTYCAAGCATGGAGTTGCCATAGTTCTGGTTTGAAGGAATTTAACCAACAAGAAATCGCCATGCATTTTAAAATCAAAGCAAAAGAAGATGTAGTTCCTGAAGAAATCTTAAGGATGTATAAAGTGATATTGGATCTTGTCAAACTTGGTGAGRACAGAAATAATTTCCCATTTTCTTTCATCCTAGCTGTTTTCATATCTATTCTTCCTCATTTCTTCCATCCATTGTMTTTTCCATAATTTCTTTCTCCGTCTCTCCCCGTACTTCCTTCTGTACATCTTTCTTAATTTCTTTTAACTTTCGACCTACTTTTCCCCTCTCTTCATTTGTTGTTTGCTTTTAACGGTTTGTTCCTGCCGTATGTTATTCAACACAAATTCCATAGTTTGAATGAACTTTATGTTTTAGGAAACACATTCCACCACAGTAATTTTCTGGCATTCAAGAGTCCTTTTCTGGGAACGTCTGACAATGCTGCRCTRATWTTTGCCAGTAGCTCATTAGTGGTAGGTAAAAACARCAAAAACTTATCAGAACCGAAAAGGCGTCATGATCAACCGAAATCCCTCGAAGCTTTTGTAAATGATGATATATCGTATAGCCGATTTGCATTATGGCGTCATTTACTACAACTACCAGAATGCTTTGCCAACTTTCTTTTGTAATGCAATTAGTGCCAATTTTTTTATTAATCTCCAAAGGGATTGAAAATCTGAATAACAAAGAAAATGCGCAAGGCTCTCTGGTAGTTGTAGTAAAGTTACGTCATAATGCAAACGGCCTATTAATACATATTAATTTAAGAACAAATAAAGTCTTTATTATCTATTCTCTATGAATGGAGATATATTGACGATGCTTCAAGGTGAAGCAAGACACTGAATAAAAAAAGATGCGGTTCTAATAGTAATGGGCTCGTTCGAGTGCGTCTGCCATCTTCAGTTTTGTCCAGTGTCCTGGTTACCCAATATAAGCATCGTTAAGCGTAAACTCATCGGTTGTAAGTTTCAAACTGTAGCTTAAACTTATGGATGAAAAAGCCCCTTTTTACATTTGTGAAAAATGTAACACAGCGGTTGTATTGAATGCTGGTTGACCGTGCTTTTAGTAAGACTACAGCAATAGGCATGTTTTTGAAATGTTTGTTTGTTACAGAGACAGCCAAAAGCGTTTGGAGAGTCAAAGCCAAACCGGCTTTACTCAATCCTGGTCAAGAGATCGGAGTTGGAATATGCGCAGTACACTCCCACAAGATTTCTGCTCAGACTAGGACAAGAGTTTAAAAGTAAGAATTTGAGTTTAAAGTTACTCTTTTTATTATGTGAAAGTGCGGAAACAACTATC